AAAAAAAAAAAAAAAAAAAAAGAATAAGGTAGTAAGAAACTAGATGCTCTGCATGAATAGGACCTAATTCTTGTCTTTAGGGCGTTTGTTATCAGTTATTGTAATTCACTATGCAAGTTCACTTAATTCCCCAGTACTTAGCACTTGCCATCTGCTGGTCCTGGTATCTAAGTCTGGAGCCTTTCTGATCCCATTTCTCCAAAGAGGGTTTTTAAAGGTTTAATTATTTTGTGGCCGGATTAGGGATTGTGCCAGGGTTTATGACAACTAGGAATCAATCTCTTGATCTTGCTGACCAGACCTTATGTTTTTAGCCTTGAACACACCCACATGCATACATGTACCCATTCCCTTCCTGATACTTAATGCCTCCTGAGTTTTTAATCCATTGGTGCTCTTTGAGGTACAGTTGACTCTATCAGGAATGAGGGTCTATATCAGGGGTTTCTCATCCACAGATTCAACTAATAACAGCCGAAAATATTTAGGGGAAAAACCACTAAAACATAACAATACAATAAAAAATGCAAATAAAAACTGTAGTGTAACAACTATTTACTTAACATTTGTGTTGTATTAGCTATTGTAAAGTAATCTAGAGATAAATTAAAGAATACAGGAGGGTCTGGTATGGTGGCTCATGCCTGTAATCCTAGCACTTTGGGAAGCCAAGGTGGGCAGATCACTTGAGGTCAGGAGCTCAAGACCAGCCTGGCCAACATGGTGAAACCCCGTCACTACTAAAATTACAAAAAAATTAGCCAAGCATGGTGGTGCATGCCTGTAGTCTCAGCTACTTGGGAGGCTGAGGCAGGAGAATTGCTTGAACCCAGGAGGCAGAGGTTGCAGTGAGCTGAGATTGTGCCACTGCACTCCAGCCTGGGTGACACAGTGAGACTTCGTCTCAAAATATAATAATGAAATAAAGAATAAAGGAGGGCGTATGTAGGTTATATGCAAATACTATACCATTTTATATAGGGCACTTGAGCATCCATGGATTTTGGTGTCCATGGGGGTCCTGGAACCAAATCCCTTGTGGATACCAAGTAATGACTATACACTTTATCAGTATCTTCCCACTGAGACTGCTCATCAGTCACCTAGGGTGACACCACTGCACTCCAGCCTTGGCGATAGAGCAAGACTCTGTCTCAAAAGAAAAAAAAACACAGTGAGATACTAATTTACACTCATTAGATGACTATCATCAAAAAGACATAAAAACTGTTGGTTAACATGTAACATGTGGAAAAATTGGAGCCATGATAGATTCTTAGAAATATGAAATAGTGACTAGTGCAGTCACAGTGAGAAACAGTCTGATGATTCCTCAAAAAGTTACCATATGACCCAGCAGTTTGTCTCATAGGGCCCCAAGAGAAATGTCCACACAAAACATATTCAAATGTTCATGGCAACAGTTTTTGCAATAGCCAGAAAGTGAAAATCACCCACATGTCCTCCAGCTGATGAATGGATAGATAAAATGTGGTATATCTACACAATGAAATATTCAATAGTAAAAAGGACTGAAGTATTGATACATACCACAACACAGATGAACCTTGAAAACAAGCAAAAAAAAGCCACATATGAAAAGGCCACATTTTATTTGTTCCCATGTATATTAATTGTCCCAAATAGACAAAGCCATAGAGACAGATTAGTGGTATGTCTAGGGCTGGGATGGAGGTAGGGGGAGTTGGGGAATGATTGTGCTCAAGGACACAGAGTTTGTTTTTGGAGAGATTAAAATGTTCCAAAATTGTGCTGGTTGCATAATTCTGCTAAAACTCATTACATTGTATACTTTCAAATTTTATGTCAATTCTGTCTCAGGAGGCTGGGCGCGGTGGCTCAAGCCTTTAATCCCAGCACTTTGGGAGGCCGAGGCGGGTGGATCACGAGGTCAAGAGATCGAGACCATCCTGGTCAACATGGTGAAACCCCGTCTCTACTAAAAATACAAAAAATTAGCTGGACATGGT